CCGCCAGGGGGCGTAGCGAGGGAAATGGCCTCCCCGGCCGCAGGTCTCGCCGCCGCCGCCGCCTCCCCGCCCGGGCTGTCGGGACGCGTCGGCCGCTCAGGGCTCGCGTCCCCCGACCCCGGTCCCCTGCGTGCACGCCAACCCCGGCTGGCCGCCTCCACACCTGCCTCCCCAGGTTCGGCCGCTCCCCCGCCTCCCAGCCCCGCTGGTGCCTCCCACCCGGGGTGCCCTGGTCCGGGTGGCGATGTCGCCCCGGTGGGTTTTGGTGGCCGCGCGCTCACCCACCCGGCTGTGTGAGCACGGACGTTCGGGTTTGGGCGTCATTCCTCCAGTAGGCAAAGTGGAAGGAATGGGGAACGAGTGACCGGGGGCGGGGAGGAGGTGACTTCCAGAAGTACGGCTGGATTTTGCCTGCCGGGCCGCGCTCCTCCCTTTTTTTTTCTCCAAACAACTTGTGGCGCTGGCCGGGTAGACACGGCGCACTGGCTCCTCGCGGGGCCTCCCACCCTGCGCGGCGTCTGGTGTTCTCTTACCCTGGCCACCTCGGGAATGGAAGTTTGCAGAAGACCTGGCTTGCCCTGGAGGGAGACACTCCTTCCCAGCTCTGGGCATATCCTGGGAGATGTGTGCCGGGGTTGAGACACTCCACAGGTTCCAGAAGGGCCGCCCTGTTCATGTGTCTTTGCCCTGGATATGTACAGAGAAAGCCGGAAGACAAAACTAATGTCTACTCGAAAAATTCTGCCCAGGCAAATAGGAATTCCTAAAGTGCCCCCCACCCCGAGTCCTGAAGGCCAAGGATTCAGATTGGGAGAAAATGAAGCAGTAAGAATACTGAGTACCCCCAAAGCGAAAAGGTAGTGGTTCAGAAGCTACACAGTTGCAACAAAACTATTTTGACGACAGGGTATAATTATTTTCTTGTAGGTAACATTAAAATAATTCCGACTTCATGAGTCAATATACATGTGTATAATAAATGTGAGAGAGTTGGGACGATTTATATGAAACCTCAACTGCCTGAACAATGTATAGATCATTTTTTGGAGACTTTTCTGGATTGCCAGACAGTGGCGTGTGTTTTATTCCAGCTTCTCGGAAGCATCCCACTGCAGACAGCATTAACTACCACTGTCAGGAAATTAGAAACTGTTCCAAGCGCCTGATGTACAGAGTTTCAGGGAGTTCCCCAGGCGAGTGGAAGACCTCAAGGTTCTCTGGCCAGAGGAGGGACCTCTCCCTTGAAACTCCAGGGATCCTATTTCCCCTCCGTCCTTGGCGATACATCCGTGTTTTCTTCTTTACTCGTAATAAGGCTGCGCCATAGGACTTGCAGGTTTGTGGCTGGTGAGTTGTTCTTTGCGGGGAAGTTCCCTAGCTTTGCGCCCCGGCTGCCCCGGGATGTTTTGGTTCCTTTGGAGGAAAGCTTATTGGAATCTCACCATTTGTTCCAAACAGGGGGCCCCCTGGTGGCTAACTGTGAGGGAAAACGTTGGCCACTGAAGAAAACAGCCTGGCCCTGATAGGCCACAACAGTTGACTGGTCATGGCAGGGGCCCAAGAGTGGGTAAACAAGTTTTGTAATAAGGCCAGACGGTGGAGGTGCTGGTGGTGGTGGTGTGTGTAGATAAGGGTGATGTCAATCTTCCATCAGAAAGGTGCACGATTGGCCTTAAAGACTGCTGGAACTTTTTATTTTTTTCTCTTCTTGAGTATAACTTGGAGCTAAATTCCTTCTTAAGTAGGAAATGCGGTACAGAGAATGAAGTATAACAAACACTGTTGCTTCCCCTTGTTCAAACGGCTTTGCCTTTCTGATCTCATTTTGCCTGGAAACTTCTGAAGTACAGAGTAAATTAAAACATTAAATAAATAATGTGGCATGACTCAAACAATTCATGCGACTGTGATTGTAATAATTTAGAACAATGGGGAGGACAATTTTAATGCGACGTTATTGAAACAATATGAACTGCTAGGACTCCATTTGAATGGGCCCTCGAAGGGCAGTCTCACAGGCTGCATGATGGTAAAGAGTGGTTACCAATAGAGCATGCATTCCCACCCCCGCCCCCCCCCCCTGATTTTACACTAGTGGGGACAATGAAGGAGAATTTTAAGGGGACCTGACTGAGGGCAGTCCTAATCCTGTAGATTTTAGAAGACATAACCAAGCTGTTTTCATGACCCATGAGCACATTTCACCATAGCTGTCCATCTTCATTGCCAGGATCTGTACATTTCAAGCTAATGAATTGTTTCAAGAGATTCATATACTCATTCATTCATTCATTCAACAATAACTGGGTTAGAAGACGAATAAAACACAGGATCCAAAAGGGCTGGGATTAGGCTGAAGTGAATGAGACCAGCGCAGGGTCCGAACAGTCTTTATTTAAAAATTTGATATATTGTTCATCAGGGACAATGGTTGCATTAATTTTGATTTTAAAATACTGCATTAAAATATAATTTCTCTTGATTACTGAGATTTTGGACATCCCCTTGAATTTTACATCCAAGGCCTCACTTGCCTTACCCTAGTCCCCACTCGGCTATGCCCTCATGTTACCAGAGTCTAATAAGAGTAGTAAAATTCTGTTAGAATTTTCTCTGTGTCAAAGATAACTCGTATACATTAAGGAACTTGAGGTCAGGAAGTTAAAGATGTGGGTGTAAAGTGAGGGTAAAAATCAGGAAGATTTCACAGAATGAGGTGCATTTGAAATAGTCCAAGAATAAACCGGATTTTACCAGATTGTTGGAAACAAAGGAATGACCCGAACAGGGACTGGAACCATTAGTAGTCTTTCATTTATTCAACAACTACTTCTCGAGCTAGCTCTGCAGCCAAATGACCCAGTCCTGGAGATTCTGATTCGTTCTGTTCATCATTAGTTCATGGGGTTTATTTTGACTATGAGGGTCCCAGTGATTCTGGTTCACCACCAGACAGATAAGAATGTCAAGTCTGTTCCTGCTCTTCAGGAAAGACAGACAGTTAGGGGAGATGGCATGTTCAAAATTAATTTAAGAGTGAAGGTGTAATGAGAAACGTAAACATAAATGGATAGGCGACTCCTGGCTTGGAGACCATGATAGCCCATGAGGAATGCAAAAGGTGGCTGGGTGGAATTGTGGGGAGAAGTCACAGAGAGGAAAAGACACAGCAGGCTCTCTTTTTTTCAGGGCCCAGTGCAAAATGAAAATGTGGGGCCTTTTATTCGAAAAGGCAGGGGGAAAATGCCACTATAGGTACAAAATATAAAGATATCTCCTGTCTTCCATGTTCTCTCTTTGGAATTGTCATGGCATATTTTTTATTTGTTGTCTAATATCATTCTAAGAAAAATAAACGTTTAAAATTATTAGCATCAATTTTACTGTTCATCTTTACATCATACTAGTTTTTAATGCAAATGGAAGAGCATTTGCAAAATCAATAAAATTACATAATTTTTGTTTTGTAGCCAGTACGTGCATATGCATTTTGTAGTCTGTTTTGGTCTTATCAGAACTGTGGAATCAGCACAAAACTAACACAATTGTTTTTATTTTGCTTCTTGTTATGTGCTCATTCTACCAACACTCTATCTTGAACTTACTGTAATGATGAGTAAAGAAGAACCGAAAGGAAAGGGAGCTATGGGTTGCCCTTTCCTTCCATGTCATCATTTTCAGAGTAACTGGTTAGCTAGTACAGGGAAGTAACACAAGTAAGAGAGGACATGATAACGTCTTCCTCTGGTTGTTGCCTTCATTTTGCGTTCAGAGCAAGTTCTGGTTGGAATGGAAAGCATGTAACATGCTTACGTTGCACTCAGTTTCCGTGTTGCTGACCTTTCACACATCATGGGACCATTGGAATTCTGTGCTCACGGGGCATCAAGAATGCTATGCACGAATGGAGCAGCGAAGAACAGCCATGGATGTGTGAATTGAGTGCATTTCCTCTGCTCATGCACATGCTCCATTGTCCCATCAGATGTCACTTATAGAAACACAAGTTCAAAGATAAAATTACTAGGAATCTTATGACAGTAAAACAGAGCATTAAACTAGGTGTCAGGCCTGGTGCACAGGGCCCTTCTAAGCATGGGCCCT